CACCACGAGACAAGGGGACATCACAAGACAAGGGGGCATGACAAGACAAGGGATCACCTCAAGACAAGGGGACATGACAAGACAAGGGGACACCACAAGACAAGGGGACATCACAAGACAAGGGGACATGACAAGGCAAGGGATCACCTCAAGAAAGACAAGGGGAAACCACAAGACAGGGGGCACGACAAGACAAGGGATCACCTCAAGACAAGGGGGCATGACAAGACAAGGGGGCATAACAAGACAAGGGGCATCACAAGACAAGGGGGCATGACAAGACAAGGGGACATGACAAGACAAGGGATCACCTCAAGACAAGGGTGCATGACAAGAAAAGGGGACATCACAAGACAAGGAGGCATGACAAGACAAGGGATCACCTCAAGACAAGGGGGCATCACAAGACAAGGGGACATCACAAGACAAGGGGACACCACGAGACAAGGGGACATCACAAGACCAGGGGGCATGACAAGACAAGGGATCACCTCAAGACAAGGGGGCATGACAAGACAATGGGACATCACAAGAGAAGGGGGCATGACAAGACAAGGGGACATCACAAGACAAGGGGACATGACAAGGCAAGGGATCACCTCAAGAAAGACAAGGGGAAACCACAAGACAGGGGGCATGACAAGACAAGGGATCACCTCAAGACAAGGGGGCATGACACGACAAGGGGGCATAACAAGACAAGGGGCATCACAAGACAAGGGGGCATGACAAGACAAGGGGGCATGACAAGACAAGGGATCACCTCAAGACAAGGGTGCATGACAAGAAAAGGGGACATCACAAGACAAGGAGGCATGACAAGACAAGGGATCACCTCAAGACAAGGGGGCATCACAAGACAAGGGGACATCACAAGACAAGGGGACACCACGAGACAAGGGGACATCACAAGACAAGGGGGCATGACAAGACAAGGGATCACCTCAAGACAAGGGGACATGACAAGACGAGGGGACACCACAAGACAAGGGGACATGACAAGACAAGGGGGCATGACAAGACAATCGTACATCACAAGACAAGGGCGCATCACAAGACAAGCGGACACCACAAGACAAGGGGACACCACAAGACAAGGGGACATCACAAGACAAGGGGATCACCTCAAGAGAAGGGGACATGACAAGACAAGGGGGCATGACAAGACAATCGTACATCACAAGACAAGGGCGCATCACAAGACAAGCGGACACCACAAGACAAGGGGACACCACAAGACAAGGGCGCATCACAAGACAAACGGACACCACAAGACAAGGGGACACCACAAGACAAGGGGACATCACAAGACAAGGGGATCACCTCAAGAGAAGGGGGCGTGACAAGACAAGGGGACATCACAAGACAAGGGATCACCTCAAGACAAGGGGGCATCACAAGACAAGGGGACACCACAAGACAAGGGGACACCACAAGACAAGGGGACATCACAAGAGAAGGGGACATCACAAGACAAGGGGACATCACAAGACAAGGGGACATCACAAGACAAGGGATCACCTCAAGACAAGGGGGAATGACAAGACAAGGGGACATCACAAGACAAGGGATCACCTCAAGAGAAGGGGGCATCACAAGACAAGGGGACACCACAAGAGAAAGGGACACCACAAGACAAGGGGACATCACAAGAGAAGGGGACATGACAAGACAAGGGATCACCTCAAGACAAGGGGGCATGACAAAACAAGGGGACATCACAAGACAAGGGGACATGACAAGACAAGGGATCACCTCAAGACAAGGGGGCATGACACGACAAGGGGGCATAACAAGACAAGGGGACACCACAAGACAAGGGGACACTACAAGACAAGGGGACATCACAAGAGAAGGGGACATGACAAGACAAGGGATCACCTCAAGACAAGGGGGCATGACAAAACAAGGGGACATCACAAGACAAGGGGACATCACAAGACAAGGGGGTATGACAAGAAAAGGGATCACCACAAGACAAGGGGGCATGACACGACAAGGGGGCATAACAAGACAATGGGACATCACAAGACAAGGGGGCATCACAAGACAAGGGGACACCACAAGACAAGGGGACACCACGAGACAAAGGATCATCTCAAGACAAGGGGGCATGACAAGACAATGGGACATCACAAGACAAGGGAAACCACAAGACAGGGGACATGACATGACAAGGAATCACCTCAAGACAAGGGGGCATTACAAGACAAGGGGACATCACAAGACAGGGGGCAAGACAAGATAAGGGATCACAACAAGACAAGGGGACACCACAAGACAAGGGGACATCACAAGACAAGGGGGCATGACAAGACAAGGGGACATCACAAGACAAGGGGACACCACAAGACAAGGGGACACCACAAGACAAGGGGACATCACAAGACATGAGGGCCTGTATGGCAAGACAAGGGGGCATGACAAGATAAGGGGACACCACAAGACAAGGGGACACCACAAGACAAGGGGACACCACAAGACAAGGGGACACCACAAGACAAAGGGACATCACAAGACATGAGGGCATGTATGGCAAGACAAGGGGACATGACAAGACAAGGGAAACCACAAGACAGGGGACATGACATGACAAGGAATCACCTCAAGACAAGGGGGCATGACAAGACAAGGGATCACCACAAGAAAAGACAAGGGGAAACCACAAGACAGGGGGCAAGACAAGATAAGGGATCACAACAAGACAAGGGGACACCACAAGACAAGGGGACATCACAAGGAAAGGGGGCATGACAAGACAAGGGGACATCACAAGACAAGGGGACACCACAAGACAAGGGGACACCACAAGACAAGGGGACACCACAAGACAAGGGGACATCACAAGACATGGGGGCATGATAAGATAAGGGATCACAAAAAGACAAGGGGACACCACAAGACAAGAGGGCATGTATGGCAAGACAAGTGGACATCACAAGACAAGGGGGCATGTATGACAAGACAAGGGATCACAACAAGACAAGGGGACACTACAAGACAAGAGGGCACGTATGACAAGACAAGGGGGAATGACAAGATAAGGGATCACAACAAAACAAGGTGACACCACAAGACAAGGGGACACCACAAGACAAGAGCGCATGGATGGCAAGACAAGGGGGAATGACAAGACAAGGTGACACCACAAGACAAGGGGACATCGCAAGACAAGGGGACACCACAAGACAAGAGCGCATGGATGGCAAGACAAGGGGGAATGACAAGACAAGGTGACACCACAAGACAAGGGGACATCACAAGACAAGGGGACATCACAAGACAAGGGGGCATGACAAGACAAGGGATCACAACAAGAGAAGGGGACACCACAAGACAAGGGGGCATGTATGGCAACACAAGGGGACATGACAAGACAAGGGGGCACCACAAGACAAGGAGACATCACAAGACAAGGGGACACCACAAGACAAGGGGACACCACAAGACAAGAGGGCATGTATGGCAAGACAAGGGGGCATGACAATATAAGGGATCACAACAAGACAAGGGGACATCACAAGACAAGAGGACATGCATGGCAAGACAAGGGGGCATGACAAGACAAGGGGACACAACAAGAGAACGGGACACCACAAGACAAGAGGGCATGTATGGCAAGACAAGGGGGCATGACAAGACAAGGTGACACCACAAGACAAGGGGACATCACAAGACAAGGGGGCACCACAAGACAAGGAGACATCACAAGACAAGGGGACACCACAAGACAAGGGGACACCACAAGACAAGAGGGCATGTATGGCAAGACAAGGGGGCATGACAATATAAGGGATCACAACAAGACAAGGGGGCATCACAAGCCAAGGGGACATCACAAGACAAGAGGGCATGCATGGCAAGACAAGGGGCATGACAAGACAAGGGGACACCACAAGACAAGGGGACACCACAAGACAAGAGGGCATGTATGGCAAGACACGGGGGCATGACAAGACAAGGTGACACCACAAGACAAGGGATCACCACAAAACAAGGGGACACCACAAGACAAGGGATCACCACAAGCCAAGGGGACATGACAAGACAAGGGGACATGACAAGACAGTTGGACATGACAAGACAAGTGGACATCACAAGACAGGGGGCATGACAAGACAAGGGGACACCACAAGACAAGGGGACACCACAAGACAAGGGATCACCACAAGCCAAGGGGACATGACAAGACAAGGGGACATGACAAGACAAGGGGACATGACAAGACAAGGGGACATGAAAAGAGAAGGAGACACCACAAGACAAGGGGACATGACATGACAGGGGGCATGACAAGACAAGTGGACATCACAAGACAAGGGGACATCACACGACAGGGGGCATGACAAGACAAGGGGAACACCACAAGACACGGGGGCATGAGAAGACAAGGGGACACCACAAGACAAGGGATCATCACAAGACCAGGGGACACCACAAGACAAGGGGGACATGCACGACAAGGGGGACACCACAAGACAAGAGGGACATGACAAGACAAGGGGACATGACAACACAGGGGGCATGACAAGACAAGTGGACATCACAAGACAAGGGGACATCACAAGACAGGGGGCATGACAAGACAAGGGGAACACCACAAGACACGGGGGCATGACAAGACAAGGGGACACCACAAGACAAGGGATCACCACAAGACCAGGGGACACCACAAGACAAGGGGGACATGCACGACAAGGGGGACACCACAAGACGAGAGGGACATGACAAGACAAGGGGACACCACAAGACAAGGGATCACCACAAGACCAGGGGACACCACAAGACAAGGGGGACATGCACGACAAGGGGGACACCACAAGACAAGGGGGACATGACAAGACAAGGGGACACCACAAGACAAGGGATCACCACAAGACCAGGGGACACCACAAGACAAGGGGGACATGCGCGACAAGGGGGACACCACAAGACAAGGGGGACATGCACGACAAGGGGGACACCACAAGACAAGGGGGACATGCACGACAAGGGGGACACCACAAGACAAGGGGGACATGCACGACAAGGGGGACACCACAAGACAAGAGGGACACTATCAAGACAAGGGTAATACGAATTGACAATGAGAATCAATAGTGTTATATAATGTTGTTTCATTTTCTTTTCTTTTTTTTGTATTCTTAAGCTAGTACACTAGCAGTCAACAACCAGAGTGCATCCAATGTTTACACGAACCAATATCACGTGAATTATGACATGACCGATCTCAATGCTAATATATTTTTAAATTAGTGTAAAAAGTTCCATACCAATTTGTCAACCGATAATTCCTCAAGTGTAGAGAAATCAAATACCCAGCCAAGCATAGCATTCGCGATCCCCAAAATACAGTTTGGACGTGAAGTATGCATTAACTACAAGGATAAGCATGTGGCGACGTTTCATGTTAGTCCATTTTGTGTGACGTGATTTCGTTTCCATGGAGCTTAAACTGATTACGGCTATCAAACGTGAACGATGATGTCAGTTGTGCGAACGGATGACAGTTATTGTTGTGTTGGATGTAAGTGTGGGACGATGAGGATGTGTACTTTGAGCCTATATTGTGTGACATCCTTCAAGACCCCTAAATAAATCATTGGTTTGTGGCTCTCAAACTGTACGAGGATGTCAAATGTATCTTCCAATGACATTCACTTCATTGTGTTAAGTCAAGACTAAATACAGTATAGTGATTTAAATCCTTGTTTAATCCTCGTGAACACAACTATTAAGTGTCTGGTGTTTGTCCAGATCTGGATCACAACATGAAGATGTTCTTACCTTTCATCGTTTATGCTGTGGCACTAACAGTCAGCCCAAGCCATGGTATGTACCCATTGTGTGTCCTTTACGAAACGTTACAAAGGATAGCCTTGTATAAAATGGTTTAAATAGTTGCTGCTGGTAGAAGATACGTCTGAACATTTGCCGAATCATGTGCAAACATTTGATACGTAATCGATGTACAATCATCAACCACGTCCCCGACACTGTCCGCCATACCTGAAGTCACCTCTTACGACCAGCATAGGTTGTTAGGGATCAATTTGAACCCGGAATCCAGACCCTGGGAATCTCAAGTAGTAACCCCAGGAGCAGGTGGTTAGTCTCTGTTACGTAGCCTGTTTGCCCAGCACATATTAGTATCAGGACGTCTTCATCATATCTTTGTTATAAATTTAGGTTTAGCAGGGAATTTTATTTATCGGCTATTACAATCAATAAGTTTCGCGTTGCACTGGCACGTTTTAGAGCTAGCTCCCACTCGCTCCACATAGAAACCGGGAGATATTTTGGTATCCCAAGACAGCGAAGGTTATGTATGGTTTGTAAAACAGGCTATGTTGAGTCTGAATACCATTTTGTATTGGTTTGTGAAAAATATTATGCTCTCCGAGTGACATATATTCCTCAAAAATATTATGTAAATCCATCAATAGAACAATTTTACATACTTATGTCGTCTCTGCATCAGTCAACAATTAGAAGTCTGGCTTGTTATATTTACCACGCTTTTAAGTTAAGGAATTCATTTTTGCAGAAGTAATATTCTTTATCTATGAATGCCTTGCTGTTGTGTATTTAGGTGTACACAGTTGTATTTTTATACATGTCTGGTGAACCGAATTGTACTATGGGCCGCTGGCCCACTCATGTACTGAATAAACAGATTAGATATGACTGGAATATTGCTGACGTTGGCGTCAAACTAACGCCGCAAGAAAGGGATGAGTGAGTATGGTTTTACGCCTCTTTCGGCACCTCCCCGTGATATCACTTCGAAATGGGCTTAACACACTATATCAATGAAATCGGTTCTGGGCTTTCGGCGTGACGAGCGATAGCTTTCAACCTCTACTCAATTCAAATCAAATTCAATTTATTACAACTACAGATCAATTACAATGATATATGAAGCGTGCCATAGCAACAAATTTAAATAGATAGCACTGACAGGTGAAGGTGTGTACATCATAGTCAACTTAATCAGCAGCAACGGTTATTTGACAATGATATCACGTCATGGTTTTCAAAAAAAAGTTATTTGTTTTGACATTTGTAGTCCCAATACAATAATAATATCCAAGATGAACAGGCAATCTTTGTTATTCTTGACTTTACAGGTGGTATAGATAGCTGGAGAGGGAGTACATAGTCTTCAGGTCTACAATGTTATATGAAGTGTAGCATAGATATAAATTTAGGTAAAGGGTGGCATTGGCAGGTGAAGGTGTGTTTGTTTGCTAGTTGTTAAACGCCGCATTCAGCAATACCCCAGCTATAGGACGGCGGTCTGTAAATAATCGAGTCTGGACCAGACAATCCAGTGGTTGAAGTCATGAGCATCGATCCATATAAATGAGATACGATGACATTCATCAACCAAGTCAGCGAGCCTGACCACCCGACCTCGATAGCATGGGTTGCTGAAGACCATTTCTAACCCGGAATCTTCACGGGTCGGTGGAGCTGTGTACATGATATAAATTGGTCAACAACAACAACTTTTTAACAATTGTGGTACTTCATGGTTTTCAAAGTTATAGCAGTTTCATTTATAATTCTAATACAGTATTACTATCCAAAATGAATTGGCAATCTTTGATAGCATTAACAACTAGGATACCCCGCCGTCCTTAAAAGCAGAGCGTCCGCCCGGAGAGCGGAATGTCCGGGGTTCGATCCCCGGCCGCGACATACCAAAAGACGTTTAAAGATGGTACTTGTTGTTACCCTGTCTGGTGCTCGGCATTTAGGGGCTAAAAAAAGAGGACTGGTCGGCTCGGAGTCAGTATACTGTGTCTGAGTGGGGTATTCATGTTAAACTGCGGCATAGTATCTCAGTGTGCTAGCACTATACATCGGCATCATTCCGGACTAGTACAAGCAGCCACACAAACACACACACGTACATGCACGTCGCTATATAAGTGCTATAATCTTGGACGCGACGTTAAACCCCATTTCACCTCACCTCACCTTAAAAGCATATATGCTGGCCGAGAGGGGCCATTGTATTATCGCCTTACCTGACTGGGCGACAGTGTGATGAGGCAGAGCGAAGGGGTGCCCTTGATCTGTCGCATCGCACTATTGCTCTATCGCGCTCTGTGTGGTCTAGTAGATTGACCGTCTGCCCGGATAGCGGAATGTCTGTGTTCCGATCCAGGGCAAGATCCGGGGTAGAATAGGTATTCAGCAACCCATGCTTGCCGTAAAAGGCGACTAACGGGATCGGGTGGTCATGTTCGCTGACTTGCTTGATGCATGTCATCGATCCCAATTGCGTGGATCGATGCTCATGCTATCGATCACTGGATTGTCTGATTGTCTGATCAGCTGGAATATTGCTGAGTGCGGCGTTAAAGTACAAACCAACCAACCAACCAACCAACGATCCAGGGCCGCGTCATGGAAAAAAATTGTTGCTCGGCATGAAGGGGGTGAAACAAGGACAGGTCGGGTCGGAGACAGAATACTGTGTCTGACTGAGGTATCCATGTTGCACACACAAACGCACACACGAACACACACACACACACATGCATTCACGCTTTGGAGGTGCAATATTTTTTAATGCCACGCTAAACCCCATTTCACCTTACCTCTATTGTAAGGTGGGCCGAGGCCGACACACCCCCCTCCCCCCCCCCCCCCCCCCTCTGCCATCATAGAAAACTCCTCTGAGAAGTTAATATGTGCTTACTTTAGCATCAAGGAGTGTCACCTGTTAAGATGCAGATGCAGATCTTGATCAGTGCACCAAAAGTTTTGTTTTGTTTGTTTGTTTGATGTTTAACACTGCACTCAGCAATATCCCAGCTAAATGACGGTGGTCTGTAAATAATTGAGTCTGGACCAGACAATCCAGTGACTGACATGAGCATCGATCCACACAATTGGAATAGATGACATGCATCAAATAAGTCAGCGAGCCTGACCCCTCGATCCCGATAGTCGCCTCTTACGCACCAAAAGTGCTACCAAGGCATTAGCTTACAAATGTCGAGATTGTGTTAATACTCAATACGTTATGGTCTTTGTAGGATCTTCTGAAGTGATGGTCTTAACAGACAGTGGTAATGCTGTCCAGGGAAAGGTAACCCTGTGCAACATTGAGGAATATATCAGCTGCCGCACATTGCCTGTATCTGCACCATCGCCACGGTGTCCTGTCTATGATCCGGTGGAAGATTTTATCTACTGGACTGACTTTGCCCTGGACTCTGTTTCCAGAGTCAGAACTTCTGGAGCAGACCATGAAAGCAAGTGGAAGACATTTACAACCGGTATTTCTCTCTTCTTTGACAAGTTCCCTCGTTTTGTAGTTTGATATATTTTCTAAGTATTCCTTTGTCATTGTCAAGATTGCAGCAATATTCAACACACCAGAAATGGGTTTCACACATTTAAATATGTTGGGAATATCACCCGGATGTCGTCGGGACAAGCAAACGTGTTACGACCAGGCTATCCCACCTAATGGGAGTCATCATCAGGTGAAAAAATAACGCCCTGAAATTATATTGTTGTTGATATTTAATAAATCCTGGCGTTTGAGAGCACTACGAAACCTGCCTGCGTCAAGATATGCGTCAAGGTCGCGTTAGGTGAACAGCGCAAGGTGGCGGCCCAATCAAAATGAAGGATGAGGGGGTTCTTGAGTCGATCAGAGTGAGTGATTATGGTTTTACGCCGCTTTATCAAGGCGGGGGGAACACCAGAAATGGGCTTCACAGATTGTACCCATATGGGGAATCGAACCCGGGTCTTCGGCGTGACGAGCGAACGCTTTGACCACTAGGCTACACCACCGCCTCTACGCTCAAAAAGACCACTATTTTGTGGCAGTTTTCTTTGACATAACACGATTCTGATAAAAAAACGAAGCCGAATTGTTTTAGAAAGCAACATGGGTACAATGTGTGAAGTCCGTTTCTGGTGTCCCTCGTGATATTGGAATATTGCTAAAAGCGGCGTGAAATCAAACTCACTCACACACTCTGATCAACTCAAGACCCCCCTCATCCTTCAATTTCACTGGGCCGCCTGCTTTCGCTGTTCACCTGACGCGACCTTGACGAATATCTTGACTTAAGACAGGTTTCGTATCTGAGTAAACGATCTAATATCATTAAAACTGGAACAAGTAAAATTTTGAGATGATACGCATTTTACACCTATTTTCAGACCCATATGGATTAGCCATAGATTCGTCGTTGAGGGTGCTATTCATTGTGATTGGCTCATCATTGTCCAAAATTGATGTCTCAACAAAAGTGACCACACAAGTCCGTGATTCACTCTCTAGTCCAACTACAATTGCGATTGATGCAGAAACAAAGTAAGAAATCAGTGTCGTAACTTAACCTTTTCAGCAGAGTGTGTCACCTTTAGAAAATAACATTTTTTTCGAAATGTCAGCTTCGGCGTTTAATTTCATTCTCAGAAACAAGCATTTCTTTTATTCCTGAATGGTGATATTAATATTCATCCCTTGTCTAAAATAGTGTCCATTGAAAAATAACTTTGTTTTCAAAATTGCAGGAAGTTAATTGTGGCTGGTTCATCAGGTTTAATGATAATGAATTATGATGGCACCGGGTCAACATCTTTACCTGTGAAAGAAACAACAGTAAAATTCGACCCAAAAGGTAAATTGATATAACAAGTCCATAAATAATGTACCGATGTAGGATATACACACTATCAAAGGCAGAAGCCCTTCTGTCGGCTGTCCAATAACTTCTTCACAGCTGCTATGACGTCATCGTTGTGAAATGCCCGCTGAACAAGCAATATGACGCTGTCATTCGCCGGTCGGGCATCATTATAGCTTGGATTCTCTGGATAATTGTTTTGCTGACATGACAGCCCTTCCAGTGTCAGAGTTGTTTTCAAGTCTCTCCCAACACGCTTAAACTCTGCTGCCCACTTTTTTATGGTTTTTACTGTGGTACAAGAAAGGCCATCTTTCCGCAGTGTTGTTCTCATATTTTTAAGGACGGCTTTTGGTGTGAAGTTTTTTCCTACAAGTACTTGATCACTGTGACCCATGAAGATCCGGGGTAGAATATGTGTTCAGCAATCCATGCTTGCCGTAAAAGGTGACTATGCTTGTCATAAGAGGCGACTAGTGGGATCGGGTGGTCAGGCTCGCTGACGTGGTTGATGCATGTCATCGATCCCAATTGCGTGGATGGATGCTCATGATATCAATCTCTGGATTGACTGGTCGAGACTCGATTATTTATACAGACCGCCGTCATATAGCTGGAATATTGCTGAGTGCGGCGTTAAACAACAAACCCACCACCACTTGTATATACCAAAACTGTCAGCCATGTCCTGAAATATTCTTTCCTCATCGAACGTTTGGTTTGTCAAATAACGATATCATTCCCAAAATACTTCTGACGCCACATTGCAAACTAATTATCTTGAATGTCCCCTATACTACTGAAGTAGTTATGTTGTGATGGTGTACCAGCATTTATGTCATGGGCTTTTGCTGGCGATAGTGGTAAATTTGGAAACTTCCAAAATTCCTTCTGGCATAATTTGACTATCCTATTTTGTCTACCAACTGCCTATTATAATATGAAGAATCCTACAAACATATTTTGACCCTAAATAATAGCTTGAAATCCTATTGAAGGCAAATCCCAAACCTAGCAAACATGACCACTTAGGAAAGGTTAAAGCCAGTTGGAAAATACGGCACTTGTGAAATAATAATAACTGGGCAATGTTTTAAATGCATCGATACAAAGAACAAATGTGTGCATTACTGCATTTATGAACGCTTTATATATAGGAATTCAAACCGTGATGATTATAAAAGACTGAAGGTTGTGGTTAATCAAAGCATTACTGCTTTGAAGTTTCTCAAAGGCATTCATTTAAATGAAAGGCATCGCTAGTCTGTTGTGTGAATACAAATTCTCCAGTTCCATCACGTAACTTCAATGGTTTTGACACAGGACTAACATGGCTGTTATCACTAAAACACGTGAGCTTATGTACCTCCGGTAATCTGGTTTCATATTAACAAAAAGTAGAGCTCAGGTAATTTCTGGAAGGAATATTTGCAATGAATTCTGAGTTTAGTTGGAATGCTGTTGTAACAAGTCAAAAAAATGAAAAAAAAAAAAATCCCAAATCACCAAAAGGAACTAGTGCCTCATTAGTCTGATCTATGTAGCAAGTTTCAACAGACGAACGCTACAAAAAGGCCTAAATGTTTGATGTTTATTTGGGAAATATAAATAGTGAGTGAGTGAGTGAGTGAGTATGGTTTTTCGCCGCTTTTAGCAATATTCCAGCAATATCACGGCGGGGGACACACATTGTACCCATGTCGGGAATCGAACCCGGGTCTTCGGCGTGACGAGCGAACGCTTTAACCACTAGGCTACCCGACCGCCCCGCGATATAAATAGGAAAACAGGAAGCTGAATCATATGGACCGTATTTTATACAATGTCCACTTACCTAATTCCCATTGACTGTTTTCCGGTAGATAATGGTTAAGGAAATTGTCTTTGGGCTTTGCATTACCACAATATTTTGATCATATTTTTGTAATATTGTTAACCCTTGCTTGTTAGTGTAGTCCTGCATTTCGTGAAACGTGTACAGAAAATGTGAAACCTCGTTAGTCCGGAAATCCCTCCGATTTAGTTTTGAACGTTCTTGTTGACCAAAGGATTATTACTCTTCAACAATAATCGTTAATTTAGAAATTTGTTCATCCTCTAATTTTTTACCGGATACCTTATCGTCCGGAGTTATCGGGTTTCTCTGTGTATCATTTTGTCAAACAATGTTCTACAAACAACATCTTGTGGCATGGAATATGATGGACTCGGCGTGTTTTGTGTCTTTTCAGCAGAGGGAATCTGTGAAAAACACAACCTTCAACACGATAGCTTTATCTACTTCTTCTGTTTCTTCTCCTCTTAACTATCCTGCAAAAAGTAGCCTCTGAATATCTGATCAGTGGCATGAAAAGTTGAATAAGCGTCACCAGTTAAACTCCAGAATGATGTACAATGACATTTCGAATTCTTCAAAACAGTTCACTATCTGTCAAAGCTGTCGTTATTGAGACTATTTACTGGCATTAAATTTAAACTTAGAAATTCAACCACTCAATATCATTAAGTAAGGATAAGATTTATGGATAAAGAACATCTTCATTACAATAAGGAGCGACGTTTCGGTGTAGGTTCTAACACCGTTATCAAGCAAGTGTTGAACCTACACCGAAACGTCGTTTCTAACTGTAATAAAGAAGTTCTTCATCCATAAATCGTATCCTTACTTAGTACTCCAACTTCTAAATGCCTCTCAAAGAAGTTACTCAATATCATTGCAACATGTTAATGGTCAACGTTATGGTATTTTGCAGCTAACGTTCTTTACTATTCCTCCAAATCAAGAAAGGAATTGGGATCAGTGGACATGAAGACAGGAGAGACAACTGTCTACGGGAACAGCAGTGGTTATATCTATGTGTTCCCTTTTGAGGGGTCGCTGTACTTTACTACAGAAGAGGAAAGGTGGTTTATTATTATCATACATCAAGAAGTCGTGTGTAGGGAACATGTTAATTATATGCTAGATCTTGCTGAAACATTTTTATTGGCTGAGCCGAACAAACATAACACTATCCCCATCTCATGAGTACATACTAATTTTGTATGATTCTTATTCATACTTAGATGTCACGACCTTAGAGCACAACGTGTTGAATCGAAACTGTAAAACAATTTTTGAAGGTATAACATAGCTAAGTTTGAATATTTTACCAATGTGCATTTGGAATCAGCAGTATAATCATATTAACTTGTCTTATTATCTATGTATAAATTGAACTTGTTTACGAAGAAGCAATGTAAGCTGATCTTATGCAGAACATGGTCGGAACTCCATTGTTTAGAGGCCGATGTCGTGTGGCAGGAGTACTGCTGCGCGGCGACAGACAATAAACAAACACTTACTTTTGTATGCCAAGTGTTTAGTGTGTTTGTTTCTTTGTTGTTTAACGCCGCACTCAGTAATATTCCAGCTATATGACGGCGGTCTGAAAAATAATCTAGTCTGGATCAGACATTCCAGTGATTGACATCATGATAATCGATCCATGCAGTTGGGGTACGATGACATGCATCAACCAAGTCAGCGAGCCTGACCACCCGATCCCGTTATCGCCTCTTACGACAAACATGGGGTGCTGAAGGCCTATTCTGCCTCGGATCTACGGGGGTCGCCAAGTGTTTAAGTGACGGATGTTAACGGTACCGATAGGGCATGCTTACACTTGTTGTCAACACTGAATTTTAGTGATTCGTATAATTTTCGCAGGGAGTTTACCTTTTACACCAATAGAATCTGGTACAGCAGATGACCGAGGCTGATTATTCTCTGACGTTAACGACTTACCTATTTTTGCACTGACAGGGGAAAGGTTTTCGTCATGTCAGTAGAGGATGGAACAATGTCAACTATCAAGATCAACGGGTCTGTGAGTATCTTCGCTCGGATGACAGTCTTCAGAAGTAAGTACAATCAGTGTCAATGTTAACAAGATCATATAGTGTTGTGGACTCGTTGCTGACTTACTTATTCTTTGATTGACATAGCTGAATTTAGGTAAAGTAGTAACACGCATAAGGATGGATGACAATTTCTCTACTGAGCTTGACAACGATGCAAGCATCTACACCGAAACGTCGCAACAGTGTAAGTTATTACCCACACAGATGCGTGTTATTGCCTTTCCCAACTTAAACTATGTGAATCAAAGAATGAATATGAAAGAATATGTGTGAAATCGGGTAATGTTATGCTTCATCACCTGCATATTTTGTAAATATCAAAGTCTTCTTGGGTTATGGAAAGGGCCTTTTCAGAGTAAATATATAATTAACAAAACAGTAAAGACCAATTTTGTACTAAGGCCCCCTTTACACAGGGCTGCGACCTTTGTGCCACCTTTGAGCGATCAAAAACTTGCCAGGACGCTCAATGGTCGCCTGAACCCAGAAAATCATGTATCTATGTAACTGCTCCAGCAGTTGTTCAGCAGTAACTGCTCGAGTTGTTCAGCGTCTGCAACCACAGTGAAACACTGCAGGTACAAGCCCTCTATTTATAGGCAGACTGTGGAGCCATTACAGGCAGCTCAAAGGAGGCAGAAAAGAGGCAGAAGCATTGCCATGGTGTCTCAAGGGTTGCCGTGGTCGCCGAATGGAGGCACAGCGGTCGCCACAGTCATCGTTCAGTGCACGCTGTTGGTCGCCCTAAGGAGGCACAAGGGAGATAGAAGCATTAGCCAGATTGACGGGAAAAATTTGCAACAGAACGCATCTTTTACCTGGCGACCATTCGACGACGACTGTGCCTTCATTCTGCAACAATGGCAATGCCTGTGGCTCCCTTCTGCCTCCTTTGAGCAACCACATTCCTCGGCGACCTTTGTGCGACTGTTTTCATAAATTCACGGCGTCCATGGCGATGTCTGAACCTCCCGTGTACCACTTTGGAACGACCTCGGCAACCATTCTGCCTCCATTGAGCCTCCAACGACGACCTGGCACATTTTATGGTCGCACACAGGAGGCAGAAAGGTCGCCATCCTGTGTAAAGGCCCCATTAGATTGTTACGGCGATCGTTACGGTCTTGGCTTTCAGGTCTGCTGTGTCTGCATATATCTGAACATGAATTGAATATGATCTTTTACCAATTCGGTGGAAGTAACGGCAACCATTTCCTACAATACATCCTTGCTCAAGGAGCTCCGGAGCTCGTTGTAAAAATATTTGTGGACATTGTAAGAACAACACGCTATGTACCACAAATATGATCTATGAATTATATGAGCAGCGGTGATATTGGTAACTGACAATGCGTCCTTTAAATGATATCAGAATGTTCCGATGGGAGGTATGGATCTGGCTGTACAATTAGTTGTGGCCATTGTGAGAACAACGCGTCTTGTAACAAAGTCACCGGGGCCTGTGAAGGCGGATGTGAACCAGGCTGGATGGGATCTACGTGTAAAGAAGGTATGTCCTAGGTTGATAGTTTCAAATTGCTTTCACATTTATGACATACGCCCAACTTGTGACAGGAAACTCCTCATGTTACCATCTGCACAAATGTCCGTAAATGTTTTAAGCGTTATGTTTTATCCGATGCCGATACATTCCTTGGCGCTATTAGTTAAATGCACTATACATATTAGTTTTTATGTGGCACACACCTAAGAATTGACATACATTCCAAGAATTATTTTCCTTGGAAGGATGTCGAGACGGCCTGTACGGTTCTGGCTGCTCTTCGCGGTGTGGCAGCTGTGCAACAGGCACTGTGTGTGGGAAGATACACGGTCTCTGTTCACGGGGGTGCAAACCTGGATGGACTGGAGCAACGTGCAACACAGGTCAGTCGTAAGGAGTATCCAAAAATGAAACAAGTATTAATTTCGTAGTTAAATAAACTTTTGGTTTTGTATCTCAAGCGTTATTTGTCACTGGATACCATACAAACTTATTGCAAAATTAACCCACTTATGAATTATGTTGGCACAGTGATATTGATAACTGACAATGCGTCCTTTAAATGGTATCAGAATGTTCCGATGGGAGATATGGATCTGGCTGCACATTGAGCTGTGGACACTGTAGTGCCAACACGTCATGTGACACAGTCACTGGAGCCTGTGGATATGGATGCAGTCCGGGGTGGACCGGGGCACAGTGTAACACAGGTCAGTCGTCAGTAGGAATCTTTGCAAGGAGCATCCTACAATGACATATGAAACAAGTATTCATGTTGTAGTAAAATCAATTATTGCTTTTGCGGCTTGTCACTCACTCACTCACTCACCCACCCACCCACCCACACTCACTCACTCACTCACTCACTCATCGCGCACATCCTATTCTATTTGGCTTTTCATTCACTAAATCACCGACTCATTTGTTTTCCAGAGATTGGACCGAACCTGCTCGTGTGGATTTTGACGGGCGTGTGCAGTGTTCTGAGTATCCTGGTACTTGCGCTGACAGTTGCGTGGAGATGTGAAAGGCAAGTGTAATATATCCAGACATTTGGAAGGCTGCTGAAAGGTTTTCGCTACTTAAAACAATTCACACCCTGAGCGACGTACCATAAGGAAGCATGTGGCATCTGTTTATCTATGTCCTCCTTGGGCATAGAGATACAGAATCAGTAGTTCCGCGTATATCTTATTGGCATCGTGGATGCTGAGCACATGTCGTATCAAGCTGGTGCAACTTGGTGCAAAACTTATGATTACACTTCAGTCATGAATGTCATGTTTTAAGTGACACATGCATAACTCACAAATCAAAGGGGGCACGGGTGGCCCAGTCGTCAAAGGCGCCGCGATTCGCTGTGCAGAGTTGCGTCCCTTGGGCACGCCAGAAACCTATGATTGTGGGTTCGAATCCCGGTTCGCCCCGATTATGTTTCTAGGTTTGTCAGCACCATACCCGTGCTCGTGGCTTTCACCCAAGTGATAAACGTCTGAGACCTGCATCACTTCGGGCTTTCCTCCCACATTAAGCTGACACGCGGCGATATACTTTGAATACTGTTAAACGCGGCATTAAACCCAACTCACTCACTCATAAATCAAAAATGATTTGACCAGACCTTTGACGGTGAAGCCATGACTGACAAGCTTAGCTGTGAGCTACACTGAAACGTGACTATTATTGTATATTGAAGACGATAATCATAAATTGTGTCTACATTGTATGTGTCTTATGTTGATCAGGTTCAAAATGAAAGTCTTTACAAAGACCATATAATAAATCGTTACACATATATAATGTTTACATAATCAGTTGGAAGGAGATCGACTCGTTAAGTGATATCGAGCAACATACCATCAGCTACAGCTTCAGTTACATTTCTTTCATGTCGGTAGCTTAGGGATATACATTTTATTTTAAAGACACATTGCGCTTATGACTAAGCTTTTCAAAGTTTTACCATCAGAGGCCTGCATCTGGTTAGATCATTCCAGAATGTTATGGTAGCCGTTCACAAGACTTCCCTGAGCATTGTAAGTTGCTGCGTGAACTTATATCTGAATAAATAAGAAGAATGATCTTCTTGATAAACCTTTTCCTTGAGGTAAGTATGTCATGCATGAATGCGGACTTCCGGTGGTTGGCCTTGCTCCAAGCTCCTCACAGCGATATCCCGTTCGCGGAGCTCTCTATACCGAGAGTGTAACGAAGGTATCACGCTTGGAAGGAGCTTGGCCATGCTCGGTGGAAGGGAGGTAACTCCAGCTATTGCTATTACAATGCTTACCGCTCGTTATGATATAAATCTACAAGCATAATGTAATGTCGAAATGATGCGCGATGCTATTCATACTATTTCATATATAGGAGTATTGCTAGGTGCGGCGTTATGAAAGAAACAAACACATACTTTTTCAACATAAATTGTGAAAGTGTCGGGGACTCAATCACAGAGGAAAAAGATGATACTGTTGACATTGATACATGAATGGTAATGCTATTAAGATGTTTTCATTGTTAATCTTTTTTAAAGTAATAGCTACAGTGTTGTTTATATATTATTTTATAATGATGTAGATCTGCACATGGAGACAAGCAGATATTGTTGCAATTGAAACCCACAACGTTGTGAGTGTGTTTGTTGATTTTAACCATTAACCCCACTTCTCTATTAAAGTTACCTCCCTAATGGTAATATGTTTACTTCTGTACCCTGACACGTTAATTATTCACTAATATCTCGCTACACTGACACTGGATCAACGTTTTCCGCATAGCGATATGCTATAGGCCTGTTACCGACCCTCCCGACAGGCAGAACTCGCTATAGGTCGGATAGAGCTAGACTGGTATCCTGCCCTTTGCCTCCTAGCGGCTGCATGCGAGGAGCGCAAGCGTTGTAGGGCAGGTAAACCAGTCTAGGACAGGACGTGGCCTCTGTTCTGAATATGGGCAAATGACATAAACATGTTTAGTGTGATAATTAACTGTTAGGAATGTTAAAAAATATTTCCATAATTCTTTATGTATTTCGTATGTACGCATATCATCATATACATGTGAGACAAAGATAAAGTTTATTTTAAATGTATGGGCACATCTTTCCAACGATTACTTATGCCCATGGTCCTTTCTAATGTAATGAATAATCCATTTAATTTTCTAAAACTCATAACAAATAAGGCACTGTGCAGTAAATTACCATCAGGGAGACCCGTTAAGATCCGGGGTAGAACAGGTCTTCAGCAACCCATGCTTGCCGACTATGCTTGTCGTAAACGGCGACTAATAGGATCGGGTGGTCAGGCTTGCTGACTTGGTTGGTACATGTCATCGATTCCAATTGCGTGGATCGATACTCATGATATTAATCACTGGATTGTCTGGTCCAGACTCGATTATTTACAGACCGCCGTCATATGGCTGTAATATTGCTGAGTGCGGCGTTAAACAACCAACCAACCATCCACCGGGGAGCTTTAGGGTGGCTGTTTCGGATTTCTGTTCACGACAAACTGTTTTGGTCGCCTTGTTTACAGTACATGCAATAAACAACCCTTTTCAGGAAGGCCATTCTGTACTTGCAGGCGACCAAGGAACAGACGACCATTCCCAAGTCTAGATGCACATTTGGAGAACACCCATGAGAACAGAGCCTATGACAAGGCTCCTGTTCCTCCAGGTGAAAAGGCAGGCTGCAGCACTGCAGACGATACGACGACAGAGGTTGAGTATCAGGATGTACCCCTGAGACAGGTGCATAACGAGCAAGAGGATGACTACCAGAACATATCCCTCAGACCGGAGAGCGACGAACAAGTGTATGAGATGTGCAATTTTTGAAGGATGTGATATATGCAATAAGCATAGATGAGAAGGAAACACACTTGGTTCGGTGTTGATCATTATTGAGTAAAGTGTATCTTGTTCTTATCTCCCGTAGGGTAAGCAGGCTAGCGACCCCACCTCAACACACCCCATTCCGCCCCACCCCGCTCCTCTCTCACCCTAAAGGGAGTTCGAAAACCGCGTGAAACCTTGGAAAATGCGTCGAATTTTGTTTCTTTGTTGTTAAACGCCACATACAGCAATACTGCATCAAAATGACGGCGGTCTGTAAATAATCGAATCTAGCCCAAACAATCTAGTGATTGGCCTATTCTACCAAGGATCTTCTACCAATTTGAATGGGTTTGATGTAATCAGCTACAGCAATAAATGTTTTGTTGAATTCAACTTTGAATAGAAAGAAAATGTTTGTCAACCACATGGCCAGTTCCTGTAACATACATTTCAATGCTACAAGTATTTAATCATTGCATTTAGTTTGTATTCGTGATTCAGGTGGTTAGATATATGTAGATGTTATATGTACAAGGTTTATAAGAGCAAATACAATGTACCGACAACGTACAGGTAAAGAAATACTGGTACATATGTGGTTTATGTTACAATGTAACTATCAAGTAACTTTTTGTATCGCATATAAGCAAGATAACAAATGTATAGTGTTTACAGAGTGTTCTAACAGCTTTGAATAAATTCCCCAAAAGACCGACATCTGTCTTGTTTTACAGCACAGCATTGCGTGACGAGAGAACGACTGAACTTGTCAAGTCATCGTTGTTCCTTTGTTGCTTCCTTTGTTGCCCGTCACTCCAATCAAATGCAAGTCCAGAGTAGCGACTTCCTGTTGACCCGTTTATTCCAACTTCTAGACAATATTATTGGGCCATGTCAGAAGTCCAAACTTGTAAGACAGAAAGGCTTGTTGTCAGCCATTTGAACATGTCTGCTTATTCTATATCAATATGATAAACCTTTTCGCGCTGGGGTAACCTCCCATGTTGAGAAACAACTGTAAACACTGACCAAAACAATCTGAATAAGTTATAAAGACGACACTGTGACTCCCGGAAACGACGTGGGCGTGGACCTAAACACCTGGAGTGTGGAAATAGGTAATTTTGTCATAGGAAACCACGGTTGAAGTCCCCATTAGCAACTTCATTGCGACGGTTTTCGTGCTGGCGCTGCTTACTGTCACTAGGTGTGGGGATGTGGAGACACACCCCGGCCCACAGAAGCCAACTGTAAGTGAGCTCGAGGATATGATAAAGTAAAGACACTCAAACTGCAAGTGGAATCACTTACAGATTCGTTGACCACGAAAACAAACACTCTGACAAATAAAACTGATGACTTAGAAAACAGATCTCGCAGAGACAGTCGAGTGTTTTACGGTATCCCCGAGAAGCAGGGTGGGGATAGAGAGACGTGGGGCGACTGTGAGAAGCTGGTGAGGGAGGTGCTCGATGATAAGCTTGTTATACCAGGCGCTGATGAGGAGGAGAAAGTAGGGATAGAGAGGTGAGGTGAAATAGGGTTTAACGTCGCGTCCAAGATTATTGCGCTTGTATAGCGGCGTGCGTGCGTGCGTGCGTGCGTGCGGCTGCTTCCACTCGTCCGGACTGATGCCGATTTATAGCGCGAGCCTACTGAGATACCATGCCGCAGTTATTTCATTTATTTCATTATTTCAACGCATAAAACACTTGAGTGTATCCGATATTGCTACTTTAGATCATGTTCCTCTCGTGTGTGAACTTGACATACATATGAAACACTGTGAACACGATACAGGTGTTGATGAATTTGATTATCATCAATACGTCTGGGATAATATTCATGCAGCAATGAGACGAAACGTCCAAATCTTTGCCTTAAGACATTAAGAGTCAGACGTATGTTGATATTGTCTTTTCTTTAATTGAACTTGACAAACGGTAGACACTTTAAGAAATGACATTCACATTTGCTTTATATTTAACACAAATGGATTTGTAATCGCTTTCTGTAACGCGCACCAGTGTAGAGAAAACATACCGTATCTCCAGTAATCAAGAAATTCGGGTGTTGCACTGTTTAGAAGAATTTGTTATCCAAAGCGTAGAAAACAGCTTGTATTTGTCAACCCCACGTGACCAAATGGATAAGGCATCGGCCTAATAAACAAAGACAGTGTTGATAGCCGGGGAATGCGGGTTCGAGTCCCGTCGTGGGTAGTACATTTTTGAAAGTCTTTTCTTAAATTGACCTTCACAAAAAGTGGACACTTTAAGAAATGACACTCACATTTGCTTTAGATAACACAAATGGATTTGTAATCGCTTTCTGTAACGCGCACCAGTGTAGAGAAAACATACTGTATCTCCAGTTATCAAGAAATTCGGGTGTTTCACTGTTTAGAAGAGTTTGTTATCCCAAGTGGAGAAAACAGCTTGTATTTGCCAAGTCCTCGTGGCCCAATGGATAAGGCACCGGCCTCCTAAACAAAGACAGTGTTGATAGCCGGGGATTGCGGGTTCGAGTCACGTCGTGCGCAGTACATTTTTGAAAGTCTTTTTTTTAATTGACCTTGACAAAGGGTAGACACTTTAAGAAATAACACTCACATTTGCTTTAGATAACACAAATTGATTTGTAATCGCTTTCTTTAACGCGCACCAGTGTAGAGAAAACAAACTTTATCTCCAGTCATCCAGAAAACAGTTACCAAGCCCACGTGGCCCAATGGATAAGTCACTGGCCTCCTAAACAAAGACAATGTTGATAGCCGGGGATTGCGGGTTCGAGTCCCGTCGTGGGTAGTACATTTTTGAAAGTCTTTTCTTAAATTGACCTTGACAAACGTTAGACACTTTAAGGAATGACACTCACATTTCCTTTATATTTAACATTAATAGATTTGTAATCGCTTTCTTTAACGCGCACCAGTGTAGAGAAAACATACTGTATCTCCAGTCATCAAGAAATTCGGGTGTTTCACTGTTTAGAAGAGTTTGTTATCCCAAGTGTAGAAAACAGCTTGTATTTGTCAAGCCCACGTGGCCCAATGGATAAGGCACCGGCCTCCTAAACAAAGACAGTGTTGATAGCCGGGGATTGCGGGTTCGAGTCACGTCGTGCGTAGTACATTTTTGAAAGTCTTTTTTTTAATTGACCTTGACAAAGGGTAGACACTTTAAGAAATGACACTCACATTTCCTTTATATTTAACATTAATAGATTTGTAATCGCTTTCTTTAACGCGCACCAGTGTAGAGAAATCATACTGTATCTCCAGTCATCAAGAAATTCGGGTGTTTCACTGTTTAGAAGAGTTTGTTATCCCAAGTGTAGAAAACAAGTTATATTTGCCAAGCCCACGTGGCCCAATGGATAAGGCACCGGCCTCCTAAACAAAGACAGTGTTGATAGCCGGTGATCGCGGGTTCGAGTCCCGTCGTGGGTAGTACATTTTTGAAAGTCTTTTCTTAATTGACCTTGACAAACGTTAGACACTTTAAGAAATAACACTCACATTTGCTGAATGTTTAACACAAATGGATTTGTAATCGCTTTCTGTAACGCGCACCAGTGTAGAGAAACATACTGTATCTCCAGTCATCAAGAAATTCGGGTGTTGCACTGTTTAGAAGAGTTTGTTATCCCAAGTGTAGAAAACAGCTTGTATTTGTCAAGCCCACGTGGCCCAATGGATAAGGCACCGGCCTCCTCAACAAAGACAGTGTTGATAGCCGGGGATTGCGGGTTCGAGTCACGTCGTGCGTAGTACATTTTTGAAAGTCTTTTTTTTAATTGACCTTGACAAAGGGTAGACACTTTAAGAAATGACACTCACATTTCCTTTATATTTAACATAAATAGATTTGTAATCGCTTTCTTTAACGCGCACCAGTGTAGAGAAAACATACTGTATCTCCAGTCATCAAGAAATCAAGACACACTTACGCAAATATACACATTCAGTCACCCACCAACATATATTACATTACGTTACTAAAACTGGTAATTTAGTTCTTGAAATCAGAACAATCATACATACATAATTCTTTCAAATACGCTACATAAAGCCCCACACCCACACCTTATGTCTACAGCATTCCATACTCTGTGTTGACCCTTGACAGATCCTTCTTCATGTCAGAGAATGTTTTTTTACGGTGGTCAACAGACATGTCTTGCCCTAGGGAAGACTGCTGCACTGTCCAGCTTATTTGCGTTGGTCTCATTAGCGAGCCTCTTCGCCATTTGAAGTTCCCTCAACTAAAAGTTCTTTGGCCGTACGGTATAAATCTTGATGCCGTCTCTGTTAAAGTTCCTTTCCTCGGAGAACATTAACTGAGCCTTCTTCAATGCTTCCTTGTACTTCCGTATTAACTGTTATTTACAACTGCATTTCAAATTCATAATGCATATCCATGAATATGCTCATGCAAGGAGGAACATCAAATTCAAGTTTATTCCGATAACCCTTCGTTGTTGTTGTTTCTTTAAGTGTTTAAGAGGTTGTCTTCTGCCTCAGCAATTGCGGCTGGCCTCTCCCACTTTGGAACTCATGAATGTGTGTTGGTATAACCCTTAAGCAAAGTGTCAGTATTATAGCTTGATAAGTGTATTAAGACAACACTATTCAATACCGATAGTGTTGCGCATGCTTACCCTTTCTGAAGATTTACTCTTTCTAATTAGACATGAACAGGATTATATCAGTCACTAAATAAACAAATGTCATTTAACCACCAATTAGTTAATTAGTCTGGTTAACCTGCAGTATACTGTATCTCTTCGCGTTTAAACAAGGATTGATCCCTTGTGAGTTGTTGGTGCGTGAGACATGTCAATTAATACTAGTATCTGGAAGTTTGGGATTAGCCCTAGTCACAAAAAATTAACATTCCACACTGCATCACAATAGATTATCCATCATTATGCCTTATATAAGAAGGTGAGAAAGATTACTTAAGATTGAATGATACATAACGGGCCATGCCTGCATTATATAGCCTGCACCTTGTTGCCTTTGAGAGCTAAACCCAGCTAAACAACCAAACAATCAAATTTCAAAAACAATCCAAATTCTTAGGACTTATTTTCGATGAACATCTCACTTGGGATGCTCACATCCAAAACCTAACAACTAAATGCAGCTTCTTTGAGTGGCAACCCTATCTCTTGTATAAACTTGTCTTATCATAACTACCTATCAATCAGTGTACATCAACCTTATCTGTTATATAAACATCTATCTATTGTTATGTATATATATCATGCTCATACCTAGTTTGTACATCATTTGCTTGATAACGGTGTTAGAACCTACACCGAAACGTCGCCTAACAACTCTCTATCTAAATAATTGACTCGATACAATATCAGGCTTTCAAACTAATTACACGCACCCAACATAGCACCTCCTACACTTCACGCCTTAACAGGAGAAATGCCACTAAGTCTACGCAGGGAACAGCTAAGCTTAAATTTCTGGGGCGCGTCCCAATCAAACCCTCTCATCCAAAACTTAATAAACCAAAACATCAGCCCCAAAAACCAAGCTCTAGCTCGTAAACACCCCTTACTTACCCCAATATCCTAAAGAATAACAAACTACCTAAATGAACACCAAATTAAAAATCTTAAACAAAACTGCAAACAATCAAATGTCTTCACCCCTAAACTTAAAATACCCAAAATAGACACAACACTA